TCAGAGAGAGCAACTTTATGCCTCATCAACAACATATTTTTCCCAATGGAGATACTGATAACCAAGATGCCATGCAAAACCATTATATGATGTCACAGAAACAAAACGAACCTGATCACCTGACAAAAAATCAGTATGGTAGGTCAGATGCACTGAATTGTGAAGTTGATGAGACAAATGCATGTGAAGGTCAAATGGATACATATGACCGAGAAAACGTACTTTCTGGAGGATTTTGTTCCCAAGGTATGATGGCAGGCATGCTTTAATAGTAACAAGAAATGAAAGATGTCAGATTCGAGATGGAGGGTCTTCAAGTAGATGAAGTGATTTATTTCATCATTCTGTAAGAATTTATTTGATTCATGCACGAGAATCTACTTGTCATGCAGGAAATGCTAAAACAAAGGAGACTATGCCTTCTCAGGGGCGCAATGGGGGCGCTCATCTGGGGTTCATGAAAATGTTTGGTCTAATGAAGTCATCAAGACTTGACAGGCAAGCACATTCAACAGTCAAATATGACAGGCACAAGAAGTTAAAGGTCTGGGCTCTTCTTAACTTTACATTGAAGTCAAAAGTTGCTTTTATTGATAAAATAAAGATTGCCCATCTCAATTTACTTAGAAAGTGTACTTTGGGCACAATTAATTTAAACCAAATTCGTCTGATGCTCTTCTCTTCAATTGTACAGATGCTGTTTCCATATGAAGAATTTGTGAAGTACTTCCAGTATGAAGTTCTCAACGTGTCACCCAGAGGACTAATCAATTGTGGGAATAGGTATATTTTTTGAGTCTTGGTTATTTTTTCAAATTTAGCATTCTTAACAAAATATCAACTGCGTTAAAAGTTTATTTTCTTAAAAGTAGTACAATGTGTGTTTATGGTTTGGTGCTGCGACGACCTAATGATTTTGCACACATAATACGCTGTCTTCCCAAAGGCCGCCTTCAAATGTAGAAATGGGCGTGGCTGAAGGAACGGTGTGCGGCGAACCTATGGCGGTGATTAGAGAGAAATATTGTGCTCCTCGTCAGCTTCAAATTTCTGTCCAGAAAAAGATGTGCTTTTTCATAAAAGGTTCTGAAGTGAGGGATGTCAGCAATGGCGAAATTATGTTCACCGCCAAAAAGATCCCATCCTTCTTCCAATCCACTCTGATCCTCCTTGATCCTGCAAAAAGACTCGTTACTCTTGGACAAAAGATATTTTCTCAATGGCGTGATTCATGGGATATTTACAGAGAAGTAAAGAAAGAGTAGAGTGATATTATCTTCATCACAAGAACTTCTTCACTGTTCCAATTGACCCCAAACCAAGATGTCTTCTTAGCAAGCAATAACAACCCATCACGGAAAGTGTGAGATTATGAGACGGAGACATGTCACAGGATTTTCTTGCCTCGAATATGTAAAATCTTTGTTCGTCCATCTTATGCATTAATTGCTCAGAGCGTGAAGCAATGGTCGGTTTTTGGAGAGGATAAGTTAAAGGTGACTGTGCAGCCTAACGTGGATCAAGCCTTGGTTGCTGCTCTATTAGTAATTCTTGAGGAAATAAATCACACACGAGAAAAGAACAAAGCAGCAACGCTGAAGAAGAAGAAAGAATAAATAAAACGTAGTTCATGTCTTCATGACCTTATAAATTCAAATTTTTCTCCAATGGGACCGGACTTTTACAAACTCGTTTATTTTTGCAGTGCAATCTCTCACAATTATGATGTCTTTTTCTAAAAAAAAAATGGTTTGGTGCTGCTCTTTATTTTTGGTTTTACTTTTGCAGTTGTTATGCCAATGCTGTCTTGCAGTGTTTGACCTTCACCAAACCTCTAACAGCCTTTTTGCTTCATCGGTCACATTCTCAATCTGGTAATTGACTTCTTCAAAAATAAAATTATTGCTGGTATTTGTTTCTTCCGTTTCCCATCTTTTTTATGTGTTTTTTCTGCATAATAGTTGTAATTTATTCAAAATAGAAAAATGAACATTCCTCTTTTACTTGTGTACGGATGTACCAGGCTGTGGGAGAGATTGGTGCCTCATGTGTGAACTTGAGCAGCATGTGATGATGTTAAGAGAGGGTGGGGACCCGTTGTCTCCGAATAGATTTCTTTTGCGCATGCGTAGCATAAACAGCCAGATTGGGAATGGGAGTCAGGAAGATGCACATGAATTCTTAAGGTTACTTTTGAATTTTGAGAATAAGGTTCTGTTTGGTAGCCGTATTCTGCTTATTCTGCCTATCAGTAGAATAAGTAGCTTCTTGACACACATGTTTAGCTGAAATGGATGTTCCTAAACACCTTTCTTTTCAGAAAATTCAAATGATTCAACCATTTGAGCTAAACAATCGTTACCAAACAAACCCTAATTATAAAGATACAAAGTATTATTTTGGGTTTTGTACTACCATACAGATGTGTTTGACATTGTGATTTTGCATGTAGACTTTTTGTTGCATCAATGCAATCTATATGCTTGGAAGGCTTAGGTGGAGAGAGAGCTTGTGAACCTAGACTGCAAGAAACCACCTTTATACAACACACTTTTGGGGGACGACTAAGATCTAAGGTTTTATTTGATTTTTCACGTTAATTTTCTTTTCTTTTCAAACAACCATCCTTGCGTCTCCTAAATATGTTTAAATTTTCAATTTTTGGTTGCTATGTTCTGTAACTTCAGTTTTTTAATTTTTTGATTAAATACAGGTGAAGTGTTTAAAATGCCATCATGAGTCAGAGTGCAATGAAAATATAATGGATCTTACATTGGAAATATATGGTTGGGTTGAATCTCTTCAAGATGCATTAACACAATTTACAAGTCCTGAAGATCTTGATGGAGAAAATATGTATAGATGTGGAAGGTGTGTAATGGGTACCATAAATAATCATCAAATTTTTATTACATGAATGTCATATTTGACACACACTATAATTTTTTTAATAACTTATGTTTCTTTGCATTTTTGGAAATAAGGTGTGCTTCGTATGTTCGAGCACAAAAACAATTAAGCATACAAGAAGCTCCAAATATCTTGACTATTGTCTTGAAAAGATTTCAGGTGACCTTTTATTGCAGTGCAGATAATTCATTACAGACTTGCTATTTTCTTTTCAATTAATTCATTATTGTTTTGTACTTCATTCTTGGTGCAAGCTAAATTTCAATAAAAAGTAAAGAAGAGAAAAGATGATTTTTTTTCTACAATGATTATCAGGGAGGGTGCTATGGGAAGATAAACAAGTGCATTAGTTTCCCAGAGATGCTGGATATGATCCCATACATGACTGGGACTGATGATACCCCTCCACTTTACATGCTTTACGCAGTCGTTGTCCACTTGGATACACTAAATGCATCCTTTTCTGGGCATTATGTATCCTATGTGAAAGATACACAAGGCAATTGGTTCAGGATTGATGATACCAAGGTAATTTTTTATTCCTCACCTGAGTTTCTCAACTGATCTTTGGATTGGTTTGATTTTAGTAATTTCCTATTGTAAAACAGTAAAAGGAAAGATACAGCAGATACATTAATGGAAGAAGGATAAGGGAAAATTGTTTTACTTGACATTTTGTACTGTTTAACTCATTTGTAAAGCTTAGTTTCGCATAAGACACGTCATTGAAATTCACTTCAAAATGACAGGTTCAGCCAGTTCATACGAGCCAAGTTATGAGTGAAGGAGCATATATCTTATTTTACATGCGGTACGTATCATTAAATTAAATAATATTCATATTTTAGAATCAAAGTAAATAAAAGAATAATTGAAACCAAGGGGTAAGTGTAATTTCCTTTCATTTTCAGCCAACAAAGTTTTTTTTTGCATCAGTTTTTCCTATTATCAACTGATTCAGGGTGGTTAACAATACATGGCATATTGTTATAGGTCATCCCCACGGCCTGATAGAACTTGTACTAATAGCAAGAATACCCGGAATCCAGTCCCTGCCATGTCAAAGCAGTGTTCCTCATCGAAATCTCAGAAACCTTCGCGACCTGAGCATACGAAAGGAAATACAAACCATTACACTTCTGGCAGTGTTTCCAGAAGTGCAAGTAGAAACAGACAGCCATTAATGGGGATGCATTCGGAGAACATGGACCCCGTGACAAGTGACTGGTCCCTTTTCACCAGCTCAGATGAAGCTTCCTTCACGACCGAGAGTACACGTGACTCTTTCAGTACAGTTGACTATGCAGATGGCAGCACCATTGATCCAATGTCTTCTTTCATGAACATGTCAGCTCCGGATTATACCACCTCAAAGAGAACAACAATTGCTTGTAACATGTTCTCCGGAAGTAGGCCCCACACGACTTTCTTTTCGGAAAACAAGGGGTTTGTTGTGGCTGCTAGTACAAACTATCTCAGTAGTGTACAGGAGGGCAATGATGGTAACGATGATGATGATATGTCTCAGGTTATTAGCAGTCCTCCTCATGAAGCTTTTTTTGTTGATAGGCATGTAAATTATGGGTATGATGATAAGTCTAGATATGATGTAGATCCCCAGACTTATTATCATCATCATGATCAATTATTATAGTATGTAATGTAATTCGGAGTATATTGCAACTTAGCTAGGTAGAAGATGTGTAGTGGAGTAGAAGCTAACTGTGCCTCAAGTTTTGATTTTTGTTTTTTCAGTATTTCATTGTGAGGCACATTCCGGCTTTTGGATTAACCTTAACTCTTGTTCCTGACATTGTTGCAATAATAAGAAGTTTTAATTTCTGCATGCGCTTATTTGTTTCCAGATATTAGGTGTTGTTCGGTAATTCGGTATAATGAATAATGATATGCAATCTTTTTTGGTTCATCAGCCACATTATTCACTTTTCGTATATATTAATTTCGCATGTTGAATTGATAACCCTGCAGATCCACCCTTTTTCCTATTCAAAGACCAGTTCACGAGCTCTTGTTTTCACGTAGAGAATTTTTTGCAAGCTCTTTGTTTTCACGTAGAGAATTTTTTGCAGATGAAGAAATGACAAAGGCGCTTATTACTTCCCAGACTTCTCAATGGGAGTAGGGGTGGAGCCGGGCCGGCGGTTCAGGAATGGGAGGCTTGGGACCAGCCCGGGTAATCCCCGGGTCCGGGCCTCGGGTAATTACTATTTTTTTCCCCTTTTCCTAGTTAACCCCCAACCCCCCAGCCTCAAACCACCCAAAACCACCCCAAATGGCCTAAAATACCTAGCCCAGCCCGAAAAGTTAATAAAAATTGAAAAAAAAAATTAACACAAGCCCGATACCCGACCCGAACCGGCCGGACTGGTTCGCCAAAACCACGACCCGAGCCTGGACCCGCCCTCCCCCTGGGCCTAGGCCCGACCCGGACCTGGACCCGAGAACCGGGCTGGTCCCAGTTCCGCACAGTAGCGGGCCGGGCCGGTCCACGGGCCTGGTGGCCCGACCCGAATCCACCCCTAAATGGAAGCATCTAATTCGATATAAAAAACAAACGATTTTACTATATTATCGTTATCGTTATCGTTATCGTTATCGTTATCGTTATCGTTATCGTTATCGTTATCGTTATCGTTATCGTTATCATTATCATTATCATTATCATTATCATTATCATTATCATTATCATTATCATTATCATTATTATTATTATTATTATTATTATTATTTCTTTAGTTTAAACATAAATTTGTATAGGGGTAAGACTGCGTACATCCGACCCCCCCTTCGTAGGTGGGAGCCTTTGCGGCACTGGGGTAAATGAAAATGAAATGAAATGTATTATCCATTTAGACATATTAAACCACAATTTTAATATAATAAACAAATCTATTATGAGCGGTAATCAGTTGTTTATAAATGATATGAAATAAATTTTGCAATGGAATACTTTTTAAAGTGAAGGGAAGTATTAGGAATATATTTTGTATATTCTGGTTTATTCTCCATATCTCCTAGAATATACTACAAATCTGTTCCATATATAAATTGTACACATATTGTCGAATACAAGGAGAATTCATTCCATATTTTCGCATCTTACTATATGGTATCATCGCTAACGGTGCGCTATTCATCTTTCTTTCTCTTTTGCACCATGACTGGTGGAACGGCAGATTCTTCCCAAAGTCTGGAATATGCCCTCAGTTCTAGTGATAATCCAGGAACAATAATAACCCACGTTGTTTTGAAAGGTTACAACTATGAAGAATGGGCCAGAGCATTATTCCGTATTTCACTTCGTGCCAAGAGAAAGAATCCGTTCATTGACGGAACTATGAAGCAACTTGCCGAGACCGCTCCAGAGATTGATGAGTGGTGGACGGTCAATTCGATGGTTGTGGCCTGGATATTCAACACTATTGAAGCTTCACTTCGAACCTCCATCTCCTACCGAGATGTTGCTCGAGACTTGTGGGAAGACATTAAACAACGCTTCTCAGTCGGCAATGGAGTAAAGATTTACCAAATTAAAGCTGAAATTTCAGACTGCAAACAAAAGAATGGCGAGATAATTATGAGTTATTTCGGTCGGCTTAAGAAATTGTGGGACGATCTGAATGATTTTGATGTCCTCTCTTGCAAGTGCGCTGGTTGTAAGTGTGATCTGACAACGAAGCTTCGTCAACGCCGAGAAGCTGATCAAGTGCGAGAATTCCTAATAGGGCTTGAGCCCTTCTGATGTGAATTTTCTCGCACTTAAAAATGATGTAGTAAAGTGGTTGAAAGTACGAGTATCGTCTCCACAGGGACGGACAAAAGGGAATTAAAGATTAACTAAATTCAGCGATTAAAAATAAATAAAATAAATGCGTCGTGCGAGATATGATTGGTTGCTGGAAAATTAAACTAATGCGAATGAACAATTAAATAAAAACTTGGTTTCTTTCTGATTAACGACGAAGGGAACAAGGATTGATTCCGGGGTAACCAGATTTCTGGCAGAACAGGCCTAATTACATGAAATTAATTTAATTGAGCCTAGCTAATCATTACTAAGTTCTTACCGCTCTCGCGGCATAGAGTACAATAATTTAGGGGACCAGGCTGCAAGGTTGTTAAAATCGTATTTTTGAATCGAATCGGTAGATGTTTTTAAAAATTGAATCGTAAAATCGAATCGCAAATCATAAGATTTTACCAAACATATTTTAATAATTATAAAATAAATAAATATTAGAATTAAGTTGCAAGTTAATGATATTATATCATTTCATTACATAAAACTATACTTAAAATGTCAAAAACAAGATTTATAAACTGTTTTTATAATGTAAATGTATTGAATAATAACATTAAACATATGTAAAACAAAAAAATAATTAAGTAACACAAGAATCCATTACTTTTATAAATAAACGATTCATATTATTATTATTATTGGAATTATGTATTGATTTGTAGTTGTTAATTTTAATAAATTTGAACCATTTTCACCAAAAACAACTTATTACGATTTTGCTACGATTTTATACGATTCTACACGATTTTAGGACAATTTCTTCACGATTTTGTACGATTTTATGATTTTACGATTATACCTGCGATTTGAATCGCTTTATTAATGTAGAATCGTAAAATCGTACGATTTTACAATTTAAATCGAGATTTTAACAACCTTGCCAGACTGATCTCTCATGCGACAAGATCCTATATTATTGTCAAGGCGAGGGAACTTACGGCCCCTTAATCGCTACTAATCTCTTAGCGAACAATTAAGTGTGTGTGAATGTGTCCTAGAATAAACTAGATCTCTCTTAATTTATTCTACCAGCAATTGTAATTCTTGCGCGCGTTCTAGGTTACAAAAGATATCAATTAAATTCTTCAAACACAAATTAAACGGCATTAATGCAATTAAAGCGACAAGAATCTAGCCAACAATCATGATTAACCCCTTCATCAATCCCAAATCCCTAATTAAACTACTCACAATTCATAATTGAAGAATCAACAGAATTGGGAAGAATAGGATTAATTGTCATTAATTAAAAAGATGAACTTACAAATAATCCCAGGGTCTTGGGGTAAACAATCGTAAAAACGCAAGTACATTCGTCCCTAGGCCTCTCCGTAATGTTTGTAATGTCAAAATATGGGTATGGGGGTCTTATTTATAGAAAACAGATGAGTTTGGGCTGAAATGGGACTAAAAAGGGGCTGAAATCCGTGGTTCGGGGGTACGCACGATCGTGCGTACCTTTCCACGCACGATCGTGTGTACGTGGCAGTGGCTCTCTTGCTTTCTCGCCTCAGACGCACGATCGTGCGTTCCCCTACGCACGGCGTGTGTCAAACTTCCGAATTTGACAAAACTTCCTTCATGAAAATTGTAGATAATGAAGTCCTCTATCCACCTCAACTTGCCGAATATGATTTGAATCATCCAATCAAGAGATATGATCAAAACGGCGGAAGGTGTCATTCTGAAATCACAGCAGAGATCACCTGACTTCATTGTCTGTTTTCACCTTCTTGCTCTCATATTCTCGTAATGGTGTCTTCATATGATTTGTAGCCCTTGAAGTTGAATTTCATATAAAACTTGAATCGTGTCCATTGGTTCTTTCTACAAAGAGATATGCTTAAACGATTGACAGAAGGTCATCCTGATCGTCGTTTTCAAGCTTCATTCATCTTCTTTTGATTCTGAAGCCAATCCTAGAGCTCTTTTGTCATCAAATCTTCATCATAAACCTCCCGGTGACCTCCATAGATCTCAAATCAATCTTAAATGCTTCTCAACTCATCCCGATTTCTCCTCAAGTGCCAGTGCCGAACTATAAAATCCTGATTTTGACTCCAAATGACACTAAACTCGAATCAACACCCGGTAAACATAACTTGAGCTAAAATTGAGACTTGTAACACCTTAAAGCTAGAGAAAACCATCAAAACCGATCCCAACACGCATCAAATGCATGTCTAAATATGGACTTATCACCTTTTATGCTAGCGTTCGGTCCAGACTTCTGGGGATAGATCATCTGCCCTCTCTTAATATGGTGTATTCCCGGTTGATTCAGGAAGAGGAAGTGAGAACAATCACTGGAAGCCAGGGAGACAGGCGGAACCCGATGAGTTTTGCCGTTAGGGGAAGCATACATGGCGGTCGCAGTTCGGGGGGGGGGGGGGGGGGGGGGGGCAATATATACTCGAATAACCCGATAACGTGCACCTTCTGTTCAAAATCAGGACGCACGGAAGACAGATGTTTCGTCAAGCATGGGTATCCGGAAGGCTGGTTGGAGCGTCGTCGCAACACAAATAAGGCACGTGGACTGCCTGGGGTAACCAGCTCGGGAGGCAATACGACAGGCGGGTCTACAAACAACAATCTTTCTGGACAGCAACCGAAGGCCAACGTGGCTCATGCCGGAGAAATTGCTACTGATTTTGGTGAAAATCGCCTTCATGGTAAGACAGAAAACCTGTGGATTATAGATACGGGTGCTTCACATCATGTATGTGGAAGTGCACGATTGTTCGTTGATTTAGTGGATATGGTACCCATTGAAATTGGGCTTCCAGACGGGTCATTCATTAAGGCTACCAAGATTGGTAGCGTTAAATTGAATAACAAACTCACGTTGCATGATGTTTTGTTTGTACTGGAATTCACTTGCAATCTCTTGTCTGTTTCTACTTTGCTCAAAGATAATAGTTTACGTATTCATTTCACTCATACTAATTGTGTTATACAGGACCGAGTCTCGAGGACCAAGATTGGTGTGGGCGAGCAGCTTGGTGGACTCTTTTACTTGGCAATGACAGAACAAGTTCTCATTCACAACACTACTCATTTAAATGTTTGTGATCTGTGGCATGCTCGGTTGGGGCATCCTTCTTCTCAAGGTCTCATTTATTTACCTCAAGTTAGGGGGTTATTCAAGTAGTCTATACTAACAGTTTTTTATATCTACATACCACCAGTTTTTGTACTGTTGGTATAAGGCAATTTGTTTGTAGTGTAATTTACACAAAAATGACTATTCATTACTACAATTTAGTTTTGTGGTAACTTAATTTCAAAACTTCAACATGAATTATCAAATGATTTAATTTTTAAATGCAAATATTACATCTTATTTTGTCATTTCCTTCATAAATCATAATTTGCCCCGGATTTCAACAACTTCAAGGAAATAGGTTCCAGCCAATTAAGAAAGATGAGTCCAACATACAACACATTAAACTTCGGACAAAATTAAAGTAGTTGAATATGACAAGATCACAAATAGAGAAAATTTCAGTTACTAGGCTAAAAAAATATTCATTAAAAAAAGGCTAAAAAAACATTCAGCATTTCAGCGTGGCAAATTGCATTGGCAAGTCGCGGACTATGTAATGAGGTAGTTCAGTTTAATTATGGTGATTCTGATGGTTACGATACTCCTTAAAACATATAAGTATATATATACTCTCCAATAAAATTCCTCTCACGTATTATTTTGACACTTATTATTTTCACTCTATTTCCACTTTCAAAATACGATCAATATACTCAGATCAATATACTCAGATCACTATACGATCAATATCGTATATTGATAAAAAATTTCGATCAATATACTAAGATCAATATACGATCAATTATAATATTTCGCTCTTGGTTGTTTGCTACTCTGATCTTTCTCGTGATGTATTAACTGATGTGCATGATATTAAGCATTCATCTCGTATATGGGATCGTTTGCAAAAATGCTTTATGTCTGCTAGTTTACCTCGCACCATGGTTCTTAAGCGTAACCTGAATGCAATTAAAAAGAAGGAGAATCAGTCCATGTAAAGTTACTTGCTTGAAATTAAGAAATTGGCTGATTCCTTAGCTACGATTAATTATCCTGTGAGTAACAAAGAATTATTTTTGTACACATCAAAACTTTAGCACTTTCAAGTCTAGGTAATAACGTAAAATCTTCTCACTTTCTCTTGTTAATCGTAACTAAATAATTTTCACATTGCGAAATTTTCTCATCACATCCTCAACAATTTTAAAACTAATACACTATTACACCTACTTATTTTTGCATTTATCCTTCATTCCGCTATACTATTCTCTTATCTTCCCATCATACCCTCAATAATTTATATCCTCTAGCCCTATTCATAATCTCACATACTTTCTCAGTTTGCAAAGATTCCAACGTTACGGAGGTAGTACTAGTTAGGGGTATGAGATTACAAAAATGATGTTTGTACCCACTCTCATACCCATTTTTGTACCCATCATGTTTGTGAAAGTATTTTTTTGCACAAACAAAATATTGTCTGTGAATTGGATTTACAAAAAAACACTTCACAAACATGATGGATATAAGGTGGGTATAAGAGTGGGTTTGATGAGATTATTACTACGGTACAAAATAAATGTAACCACAAGTAAACAAAATTAAAAAGCCAACTATTATGCCGTGCATTGTTGCTCCCGATGATTTGCTCGAGGTAGTAGTTTTTGCTTCTTTTATGAAATAATGGCCCGTAAAAATAGTAAAAATAAAGCGACTTATATAGAGATGGCAATTTCGGCCGACCCGTTGGATACCCGCACCGAACCGATTTGGTCAAACCGGGGAAAACCGGTTTGACTGGGGAATGGGTACGGGGCGGGGAATACCCGAATTTTTTAAATGGTTAATGGTGCGGTTATGGTTCTATACTAATCCGCCCCGTTATCCGCCCCGAAACCGCCCCGTTCACTAATGGTGCGGGTACCCGCACCGTTACCCGATCCGTAACATTATTAATGAATTATTACTTTTTATATATAAGAATAATAAGTATATATGCTAAATTGTGTATACTAAATAGAACAATATATATCATATAAATAATGCTAAAAAGTATACTACGGAGTACTTTTTTAGGCCTAAAACTAAATATATGCCTAAACCTGTTTTTGGAATTTGGATTCTAGGATGATTACTACTTTTTTATTATGTTACAAGAGATATTAGGTGCATGTCATACTAATGAATTTAAGCCAGTCTGCTTGATTGCTTAAATATTTACCTTTGTATGTTTTAGGGTGCTTTGAATATATAAATAACAAGTAGAATTAGAAATTGGTTATTTTTTTAAAAAAATGATTACTTGGTATGGGAAACGGTTACCCGTGGATAAACCGATTCCCCGTTGGGGCGGGTACGATTCAAATAAAAATTATCCGAACGGGTAATGGGGCGGTTTTGGGGCAAACATTTATCCAATGGGGCGGTTTCGGTTTTATGTGTACCCGTCCCCGATCCGCCCCGTTGCCATCACTAGACTTATAATTATTGATATGCTCGACTCGTTTATTACTTAGGATGCTTTTTTGACTGAAATTTGCTAGTCTGGTCTGGTCTGGTCTGGTAAACGTCTGGTCTTTGTGTATTTTATAATTACGGAAGTCAAGTCTGGTCTGGTCTGGGACTGAAAACAGTCCAAAAGAAAACATCCTTAATTTGTAAGAATGCATTTATGCATCATAAACTAAGGGGGGAAATTAGCCTATCTCAATAAAGTCTATGATTGGTTCGAAGAACGTTTGGAGATTCAGGCGATTGCAGATGATATAACTAGTAAATATGTTCCTTCACATGCCAATATTTTTTATTGTTTAGGAGGAATTACGCTTACGTGTTTTTTAGTACAAGTAGCTACCGGGTTTGCTAAGCTATGACTTTTTACTATCGTCCGACCCTTACAGAGGTGTTTGCTTCTGTTCAATACATAATGACTGAAGCAAACTTTGCTTGGTTAATCCGATCGGTTCATCGATGGTCAGCAAGTATGACAGTTTTGAAAATAATAGGAGTAATAGGAGTACAGTCTACTAAAGAATAACTTTTGATTAAAAACAGAATCATATTTTTCATCTTTGTTCTATTCTTGTCATTCTTTCATAAATTAATCTCGTTTAATTTTATCCATGTATGTAGGGACAATATGAACTATATATACACATAGTTAGGGATTTTGGAGCTAGCTAGGGAAGCTAACTTACAATCAGATTGTTTCCACCCCAATATAGACTCTTCACGATCATAGACAATGTGATAGCCCATCATGAAATTCTCTGCAAAAAGGTTGGCATGAGATTTTTAGCTGAAATTTTTAACTGAAATTTGGTATGAGTAAACTAGACTTAATGAATAAGATGTTCAAAAAAAATTATCACAAAATTCCACCGGGAGCCACCTCAAAAGGCACGTCCGGACAGAATCTTCTATATAAGGACTTATTTGACGCCTTTTTTGCAACTTCGAGGACCAAATTGACCCTTTACTCTTTTTTTTTGAGAGAGAGAGCATGAGTTTGTTAAGAAGCATGAATAAAAGAATTGAAGTGCAATGGATTTAAAGATGTTATAAGCTAATTTTTCAAACATTAATTCCAAAACAAGATTAAACACGAAATACAATAACTAGCTACCACTAGTATTATGAAAGTAAGATCAAAATAATTGAGAATATATATTGAAATAACGGGTAATAGGGCGGTTTTGGGGCAAACATTTATCCAACGAGGCGGTCTCGATTTTATGTGTATCCGTTCAGATCCGTCCCGTTACCATCACTAGTTGGACATGCAATTTCCGGATCACTTTTATTCTTCCTTCCGACAATTCACAATGCATCATGCCTCCCTGCTACATGGTAGCATGGGCGATTCGACACATATCAAGCACATATCAAGAAGTTGGACTTGATTGAAAGTGTTTCTGAATTATAGGGCCTTAGTATAAATATGAATTTTATGGTTATTTTAATAACCTTCTGTAAATAGGAAGTATATATAGATACTATATAGCTATATTTGTCTCTATCATAATGCATTCTTCTCAATACTCAAAATACTAAAGCATTCCCCGATCTATTTTCTCCAGTTTCAAGATCTATAGAAATTCATTATATTTATGATATTCTTCAATGACTTTCTTGATAATTATTGAATCTCAATAACATAGGAAGACAATTCAATTCTACGGATCTTAAGATCATAAAACACATTTCTTTGATGATCATTCTCAATTAAACCTTCAAGTAGAAAATAATATCCCCAAACAACCAATCGATTTAATAGGGCCAGCTTTTAACTTGTGAAGTAAGTTTAATAGAACAGGGCCCCATTTAAAATGTGAGCCCCGTATTTTTGAAGCATTAGTATTAGTATTATTTCTAGGCCAATAATATTCAATTTTAATTTCTTTCGTTTTTAAATAAGTGTCACAGTCTGTTTTTCACATTTGTCTAACTTTTATGCGCAATATGTGTCTTTCTACGTTTTTTAATGTGATGCGAAATTCTTTCGCATAATTGATCGTATCTCATAACTCACCTTCCACATGTTACATGTTGATCATTAATCTGCGTGCTAAATGTGTTTTAATGATGTTTGTTTCATTTAAAGTTTTCAGATTATCTTTAAATAAAAATATAACATCTTTTTTTGTCATTTTCTTCATAATTTGCTCCGAATTTCGACAACTTCAACGAAATAGGTTCCAGCCTATTAAAAAGGACGAGTCCAGCAGACAACATTATACTTAAACTTCGGACAAAATTAAAGTAGTTGAAAATGCATGCCAAGATCACAAATGGAGAAAATTTCAGTTACTAAGCTAAAAAACATTCAGCACGACAAATTGGCAAGTCACGGGCTATGTAATGAGGTAGTTCAGTTTAATTATGGTGATGGTGATAGTTACAGTACTCATAAAAACATTAGATCGAGTATGTATAGTAGGGATGTTTTCTTTTGACTATTTTCAATCCTAGACCAGATCAAACTAGACTTAAACAGACCAGACCAGATCAGACTTCCGTAGTTATAAAATACACAGAGACCAGACGTTTATGAGACCAGACCAGTTCAGACCAGACCAGACCAGCAAATTTCAGTCCAAAAGAAAACATCTTAGCTCTCTTTCCCCATAAAATTCATTTCACTTATTAATTTGAAATGACTCAAAAATTGTTTTTATTTACCTTTTTGGATCGCTGACTAAGGATCTTTTGGATTGTTTTCAGTTCCAGATCAGACTGATCAGACCTGACAAGATTAGATCAGACCAGACCAAACTAACGTAGTTATAAAATACACAGAGACCAGAAGTTTACCATATCAGACCAAACCGGCAAATTTCAGTTCAAAAAAAACATCCTAACATTGATTTTTTTTTTCCTACTAAAGCACCATCATACTTTCCATTTTATTTCTATTTTCATAAACTCCGATTCAAGTGAATCAGGAAAATTTATGGAACGGAGGGAGTAATAAATTTGATTGATCAAATTCATTTCTTATCATATACTATTTATATTCATATCTAAATGATTTAATTGCGGTATTATAATAATTGCTTCATAGTGAAAATAGTACAAGGTATATGTACCTTAATGTACCTTACAATCTCCCTTTACTTATTGGGAAAATGAAAACTAATAATCCAACCTTTTAGCGGTCTTCTTTCAATAATCCCACCTTTTGATTATTCATGAATAATCCAACCTTTGCACCTCATCTTCATTTGTTGGTCCCTGATCGGTTAATTACTTGCTATTCCAAGTTATTTTCTTATCTTTGCAAAATATTATCTTTGTGAAAGATGAAATTTATGGTATAATGATTTGCAAAGATAAGAATATAGCTTGGAATAACAGGTCATCAACCGATCAGGGACCAGTGAATGAAGATGAGGTGCAAAGGTTGGATTATTCATGAATAATCAAAAAGTGGGATTATTGAAAGAAGACCGCTAAAAGGTTGGATTATTAATTTCCATTTTCCCTTACTTATTTCTGTACACATCAAAACTTTAGCACTTTCTAGGAAAAATATGCTTCTATCGTACTAGTTAGGGGTATTAAATTATGGGAAAAGGTGCAAATAGGTCCATGTACTAACCAAAAAGGTCAAATAAGCCCTTATTTAGGAAGCTATGTCCGGCCGTCGTCATTTGGGGTGGTTCCCGGTGGAATTTTTTGATTAAATTTTTTGAGCATCTTATTTATCAAGTCTAGTTTACTCATACCAAATTTCAGCTAAAACTTCAATCGAGAAGGCAATCAAATGAATTCTTGAAGATAACTACGCAGTTATTTTCAATAATTCATTTGAATACCTTCCCGATTGAAGTTTTAGCTAAAATTTGGTATGAGTAAACTAGACTTAATGAATAAGATGCTCAAAACAATTCATCAAAAAAATCCACCGGAAACCATCCCAAATGGCGACGGCCGGACAGAGTCTCCTAAATAAGGGCTTATTTGACCTTTTTTGGTTAGTACATGGGCTTATTTGCACCTTTTCCCTTAAATTATTACTACGGTACAAAATAAATGTAACCACAAGAAAACAAAAGTAAAAATCCCACTACTATGCTCCGCATTGTTGCTCCCGATGCTTTGCTCGAGGGAGTAGTTTTTGCTTCTTTTATTATACCTGAGAATAGAAAAAAATAAAACGACTTATAATGATTGATGTGCTCGACTCGTTTATTTGTAAGAATGCATTTATTATGCATCATAAACTAAAGGGTTTTGAAAAAAATAATACTAAAAAGAACGATTTAGAATAGAATCATATTTTTCAATCAATCACATTTTCTGGATACACCACTGTTTATAAATGTAGTTTGGGAAAATAGTATGAACTATAGTTAAGCATTTTGGAGCTAGAAAAGCAAACTTACAATCAGATTGTTTCCACCCCAAAAAAGACTCTTCACGATCATAGACAATGTGATAGCCCATCGTGAAATTCTCTGGGAAAATGTGGCATGAGTTTGATAAGAAATATGAATCAAAGAATTGAAGTGCAATGGATTTAAAGATGTTAAGCTAATTTAGCAAATATTATTTCCAAAACAAGATTAAGCACGAAATAAAATAACGAGGTACCACCAGTATTATGACTTACGTAGCATGATTTAATAAGTAAGATCAAAAGAAGTGAAAATAGATATTGATGAAATCGGTTAATTATTGTGGAATAAAGGCTTCAATTTACAAGTTATGGGCAGACCAAAAACGGCGAGACAGAACCACCTATAGAAGGACTTAATTGACCTTTTTATGAAAGTTCGAGGACCTATTTGATAGTTTTCCCAAAAGTTAATATATACTTACGCCCAATAATGTTGATATCAATATTCTCATTTTTAAGAATACCTAAACAGTAAACTGGTCCATCCAACCCCTGATGAGAAATAACAAAAAGTTATTTTCATTTATAAATAATACTCCCTCCGGTTTTTAATAAACTTCACACTTTTCTTTTTGGGACGGTCTAAAATAAACTTCACACTTCTTTATTTCTTTTTTTGGCAAAGAAATCTATATCAAAACAGTGCCAAACAATGTCTCTACAGTGCCAAACAGTGTCTCTACAGTGCCAAACAGTGATAAACAGTGCGTCAACAGTGTATTCTACAGTAAAATCAAATTTCTTTTCTTATTTTGTGTGAAGTCAAAGTGTGAAAATTAAATAAAACCGGAGGTAGTAGGTATTAAAGAAAAATTAAATGTGTCATGTGTGAATAAGCTAAGCTGCGAATTACCGGAAAATTGGTAATAAAAGTGGGGGCAAGAACATCAAAATCAGCTCCTCCTTTCATTCTTAAAGTCAAAGAAGGTGTTTTCATCCAAAAAAAAAAGTCAAAGAAGGTGTTCGATGTGTCGTGTGATTGGTTCTGCGTCCAAAAAATAAAAATGAGCAAACGCACTCAAATAGAAAGACCGAGTACATTTTTAGATTCTAGGATTAAGAGTTAGAGTTTAGCGAGGGTTAAGAGTTTACTATTAGTTTGTCTATTCAAGTCTAGCTAGTTCAATTAAAAAGATCATCTGATTAACCAATGGTAGAGGCTGAGGTCAAATATAGCAGTGTAGTTGTTTTGCAGAGGTGGAAGTTTTAATTTACTATTATAGGACATGTTTATCCTTGGAGTACTTCAAATAAGATAATCAAATAAGAGGACAGAATTCCAGACGGCTTAGACAAACGTAACGTACTTGTACCTTGGAGTATAGCAATACTTAAATGGATATGCATCAGCGGGAGGAATGCGTGAATCCTTCACAAGAGAATTAAACTGGAAATAATGGCACATTAAATTTTATAGTATTTATAAACAAATTTTATTTAAACAGAAAAGGAAATTAAATGTGATGGTCCCTGATAGAGGTGAAAGTCTAGAGGGGGGTGAATAGACTTTCAAAGCTTTTTTTTGAACTTTTAAAAAGTTTCTCTCATATGTATGATGATCAGAAATCTGTCGGGAGATTTAGGATCGCAGCGGAAGTCATAATCTCTATCAAACTGTGAATGGTAACTTTCTTATGAGAAGATGTGAAGGAAGAAGTGTTTTAGACAACTTATCTTGGGAGACGGAAATGTCTAGTGAAGTTGAAGCTCTGATTTGAAGATCTTTCAGTGAGATCCTCTGATGATTTGGTTTTGACTCTTTAGTGAGGTCCTCTGATGATTTTGGATCAGAGACCTTTAAGTGAGGTCCTCTGATGATCTTGGATCAGAGATCCTTGAGTGAGGTCCTCTGATGATCTTGGATCAGAGATCCTTGAGTGAGGTCCTCTGATGATCTTGGATCAGAGATCCTTCAGTGAGGTCCTCTGATGTCTTTGAATCAGAGACCCTTAAGTGAGGTCCTCTGATGATCTTGGATCAGAGATCCTTCAGTGAGGTCCTCTGATGTCTTTGAGTCAGACAAAATAGATTGACACAAGATGTATCCTGGTTCAGAGGTGGTGTAATCCTCTTACATCCAGTCCCATCCTCTTTCAGATGGATTTCCACTAAAGTATTCAGCCCAATACAATTAGTGACCGTCTGGCTGTTATCACCAACCTGCTCAGACTTCAAGGTGTTTCACTAAGAGTACACACCACTCCTAGCTACTCAATCCTTTAGGTTTTTCTCAATTGATCCAGTGGGGATCAAAAGGTACTCTATCCTATTCTACCACACTTAAGGACTTAGACGACGCTATCCTTATAAGTGTTTACAACAGTTTCAATATGAAACAAATTTCTAGCCTCCAACTAAAAACTAAACTTTCTGAGTGTATCAATGAGGATTTTTGTTCTAGAAGGTTTAGTGAAGCATGAGTCTAAGCAGAGAGCAGAATTTAATGAACACTTTCTCTTTTGCTGGATATCTTCTTTGTGTAGTATGATTTCTCTGCTTAGTGAACTCAGGAGCTTGTTTTTCTTCTCATGCTTATGCCTGAATTTATAGGCATCTCTGGTTGATTAATCTCCTCCGTTGGTTGAGAGGTTTTAATCTATGTCGTTGAAGCATCTTGTACTTTCGTCTTCTTGTGTTGGAGCAGCTTATCTTCAGACGCAATTGGATCAACTTGCTTCGCAGGAAATGTAAACCCATTCCTTAGGTCTACTATTCACCATCTAGTGGGGTTTTGTCTTCATAGGCAACTCTGGAGTGTCTCGTGATTTTACCAAGTAAATTTGTGACTTTGGTCCTTGTGTACAAAATTAATTTGTACTGGTAGGATTTTAAATATCCTTTTTAAGGTAAAGAATGATTTACCTTATTGCATTTTATATTTCCAGTATAATTAATTTTGTACATAAGATGTACATGTAAGATTAGTCACAATTTTACTAGTGACAATAATAAAATTGTAACACAAATAAATATACTGATTGGATTTGAATATCCTTGAAAGGTAAGGATTTACCTTATTGCATTTTATATTTCCATGTATATATAATATAGTTCACACCAATTCATTCCATGTATATATAATACAGTATCTGTTTGAAAGATCGAAGGATGTAGTCCATCTTATGTCATTTTCCCTGTTTATGCAGATAATATTAGTTAAATTTAAATATACTAGTTAATTGTAATGTGTAGAAAAAAGGTTGGTAATTAATTAACGAATTGAATTAGTTAAAATTAGTTAAACGTAGGATTAATTTAAATGTAGTGTTAAATTACTTAATTTTTTAATAATATTAGTTAAATTTAAGTATTAGTTCATTCAAATGGGTGTGTGTGTGTGAGTGTGTGTGTGTGTGTGTGTGTGTGTGTGTGTGTGTATAGTGGAAAGATCAAGTACAAAGTGTGCTTATTGTGCAAATATTTGTACGATGCACCTTGACGTTATTTGCATTGCATATTGAGGTTCAAAGTATTGCACATTATAAAGTCATAAAAATAGCAGTTGCACATTAAGGTGCAACGAGTTGCACCCTAAAAAGTTGAGTTTTATTACAAAAATGCCACCTTGCCTTTATGTCCTTTGGATCAACTCATCGGACGGTCAAGATGAGTTTGTACTTTGTAAATTAAGAAGGCTTTGTATTTGATCTCTATTCTATATATATATATATATATATATATATATATATATATATATATATATATATATATATATATATATATATATATATAGATTTAGGATCAAATGAGAACAACCCTTAACGTGAGAACGTGAGAACACCACATTTACCCAAATGTGATGCACAATGAGGCTCGCCCAATGCACATTTTCGCGTTCGGCACAGTATTTACTAAAATGCCACCGTCATTATTTATATAGGCTTATTTTGAGCTAAACCCAAATGTGCACCTGACGGGCTCAATTGTGTATCACGCTGGGTTAATTGTGAGTGTTCTCACGTTCTCACGTTAAGCATCGTTCTCACTGGAACCGCACCCTATATATATATATATATATATATATATATATATATATATATATATATATATATATATATATATATATATATATATATATATATATATATATATATATATATATATATATATATATATATATATATATATATATATATATATGTTTTGGTTCAAATAAGAACATGATCTTATGAGAGAAATGAGAACGAATCTGAACCGTTAGATTTGCTTCAAGTGAAATTCAATGTGCATTAGATGAAAATGTAATGTGCATTAGGTGAAATTGAAATGTGCATCACAAAGGGTACGATAGAGTGACATTATGTGCAGTTGAATTATGCATTACGTGAAATTGAAATGTGCACTAGGTGAAGCTGAAATGTGCAGAATAAAAAGTACGAATTCTGCTTATTGTGCAAATGTTTGTACGATGCACCTTGACGTTATACATATATATATATATATATATATATTATATATATAAATATATTATATATATATATTATATATATTATATATATATATATATATATATATATATATATATATATATATATATATATAGGGATGGGTTCTAGTGAGAACATCCCTTATTGTGAGAGCGTGAGAACAAATCCTGGCTTTTGATCTGGAGAAACGGACGGTTCATTAATCTGAAGGTGCATATCAAAAATCATGCACCGTGTCACACACATATGCATCATGCATACTAATTTAAGATACGTGGCATGATTAAAGGGTAAAAAAGTCAAAATATGGAGGTTATCACTTACGTAACATTAGGAAGGATTAAAGGTCTATTCATTTAAAATGGTTTAATTTAAAAACTGATTTAACTTTGTAAATAATAATATGATTTTAACAAAAATCATATCAAATTTTATAATTTTTTTTATCTTTCATATGACACCAATATGTCATATATAATTTTGTTTCAAAAAAATAAGTATAATATCTATACAATAAATCACAAGAAACATCTTTAGCTATCGCATGCACACCAATATGTGTCTAACACACAACAACTAATATCTAACGCACAACAACCAATATATAACACACAATATGTATAAGAAAAACTAAAACAAGTATCTTAAGCACAACATTCAATATCTAATGCATAAAGAACATTATCTGACACATATTAGTATACACACATATTAGTATATGCACAAAGAGCAGTATCTAATGCACAACAATTAAAAACTAATTAGTATCTAATGTATAAAGAATTCACACTAATTAAAATAGTATATAACACACAAGAATCAATATCTTATGCACAATACAAATATACACTCGAGAACTAGTACCTAACGTATAGTATATATACAATCACAGCAAGTATTTACCGCACAAGAATCAGTATTTCACAAACAACAACCTATATTTACAGCACATGAACCGACCATCTTACTATCAGCTATGATAAAGCACACTACAATTGGTATTTGATGCAAATTAAATGAATAGAAAATAAATTATAATTTAATGGAGAAATTTAATATAAAAAAAGAATATTTTGTTTCTAAGCAATTAGTGAAAATATTTAACATAACAAATTGTTGATAATGTTTATGATTTAAAATTTTTAACCAATATATTTTTTATTCTTATAATATTCAGACATAATGTATAAGCAAAATAGAAGTTGGATGTATGATAAAAAATGCGGTATTGTACGGAATGCAATCAAATTTCCTCGAGGGATGTGGGGAGTTTATTAAATTTGCACTTGAACACCCGGATTATATGAGTGGTGACAAAATCAGATGTCCATGTTCAAAGTGTAGAAATCTCAAATTTAAAGACCCAGAGGATGTTGGGTGGGATTTGTACGCGAAAGGTTTCGTTTCCAATTATTATAATTGGACTTGTCATGGCGAACCTTTGGATCCAGGGGCGGAGCTAAGGGGTGCCCAGGCTAGGCCCTGGCCCACCCCAAATTTGAAAAATGTCAATATTTTTAGTGTAAAATTAAAATTACGTATTATTAATGAGTGGAGTCCATGTCCATGTGAAATTAAAATTAATGCTGCATAAGTACTACGTATTTTATATTACCCAGGTAGAGTTAAAGGAGGTGCGACACACCGAAATCTTACTGTTTTACTAGAATTACTGTTTGAATTCATGCCAGAAACGCACCTTCTGGACCTAACACCTCCATTTGAGCACGAAATTGTTCAAATGCATGAAGAACAACGATCTGCTCAATATCAGGAAGAAGGAGAATCGATAGACGGTTCTGATACAGAAGAAGACGTTGTATATGTAGAAAATAATGATTCTGACAGCGAGTAATTGTGTTGTAATTTCAATTTTTTTGACTCCAAATATTTGTGCTCTTTTCTTCATCATTACTACGTATATTACTCCAACAATATTTGATTTTTTTTCTTCATCATTATTATTTGTGAAATAAAATTTACTCCATATTAATTCAACAACAACAACTTTTTTATATCCATATTATAAATTGAAAATATACTTTTAATAATTCAAAGTTAGAAATTCAAAATTAAAATTTCCATAATTCAAAATTTAAAATTACTCCATATTATATCCATAAAAAAAATTCGAAAAAAAAATTGACCGGGTTAGTCACGGATAAATCCGTGACTAAATTCAAATTTTGAATTTAGTCACGGATTTAGTCACGGATTTATCCGTGACTAACCCGGTCAATGGCGGCCCTGACACCGCTTGGCTGGATTCGGGGATTACGAAGGGTTTAGTCACGGAAATATCTGTGACTAAATCCGTGACTAATCCCTTATATAAAATAAACCCTTGACGAATTTTTCATTCCAAACACTCTCCCAACCCTAAAACTCTCCCTCTATCTCTACTTCTTCTCTCTGTCCGCCGAACCCTTTGACCTCCACCGCCGCTTTCACCGTCCGTCGCCACCGTCCGTCGCCAGTCTCCGTTAGCTACCTCCGTCGAAGGCTCTTCGCCGTCCTCTTCATCAAGGTTATGTGTTCTAAATTTCAATTACTTTTCATTCTTATTTTTAGTATTTGATTTTCATTCCAAAAATGCATGTTATTATTAAAGTGCATGCTCTTTTGTTGAAATACACTCAAATGCATGATTATATACATGATTTAGTTTATATGCTCAATTTGATTTATGAATGATTCTTTAGTTTTGTATACATGTTTTGTGTAGTAATATGATTTAATATGTTTTAGTTTATATTTTTCTTTAATATTCGAAATATAATTTTTGAAATACATGTTTAATATTAATTTTCGAAATACAATTTAGTTTATACTTTTCTTTAGTTGGTATACATGTTTAATATAATTTAGTTTATTACATGTTTTATATGTTCAATAATTTTAATATGTATGCCAAAATATGATTTAATTTTATGTTAAACAACATGCATGATTATTCAAACCTTTTTTATTTTTTTTATTTCGGCCTTATATGTTTATTTTATTCTTGAATTATGTTAGGTTAGTTTGGACTAATTTTTAGACTTAGAATGAAGCATGCTAAATAGAAATATTTGGACATTGTTAGGATTATTGTTTTTTATCATCTATCAAAATTATTATTCCCGAATTATTTAAAAAAATACCCCCTCATGTCAAACTTCCAAAAAAGTTTAACATGTTAATTATAAAATATTAATTTAGACATTAAAAACAGTTTTCTGAAATAAAATATAAATATAGATTATAAAAAAACAGTTTAATAAAAAAAAAGTTTTTGTTAAACTGCTTAATAAAAAACGGTTTTTTATTAAAAAGTGTTTAATAAACTGTTTTTTATTAAAAAGAGTGTAATAAACAGTTTTTTATTAAACAGTTTAAAAAAGTGTTTATTAAAGACATTAAAAAACAGTTTTTAAAAAGTTTAAACTGTTTTTTTTATTAGAAAGTGTTTAAACAGTTTAAAAAAAGTTTTAAAAATGTTTAAACTGTGTTTTAATAAAAACTGTTTTTATTAAACAGTTTTATAATAGTTTTTCTACGAACAGTTCAATTGAAATATTTTTAACAACAATTTTTTTAAGAAAAATTAAAATAAGTTTTAATTTTGGTTTTTAAAAAATAGTTTTTTTTTAAAAAACAAAACATTTAGTCACGGATCTGAGCCGTGACTAATTTTTTAGTCCGGAATTATTTGTTAAATTTAAAATTTATTTTTTTTTTAAAAAAAAAAATTTAGTCACGGATTCATGACCGTGACTAATACGAAATTTCAAAACATTGAAAAAAGGAAACGCGGGTTTTTGAAAAATTCAAAAATTTGAAAACTTAGTCACGGATATTTCCGTGACTAATATGACCGATTTTTTTTTAAAAAAAAAACTTAGTCACGGACTTGTCCGTGACTAATATAAAAAAAAATTAAAAAAAATGTAGTCACGGATCTTAGCCGTGACTAAAGTGCCGGAGCAGCTATTCCGGTGACAGATTAGTCACGGATCTGGTCCGTGACTAATCCGTGACTACATTTAGTCACGGACAATTTGACGTGACTAAATTTAGTCACGCCCAAACAGTCACGGAATTAGTCACGGACAGAATCCGTGACTAAATGAGTTAGTCACGGATTTTTTACACTGTGGTCCGTGACTAAATCCGTGACTATAGCCGAATTTTTTTGTATGGGTATGGCATGCTGAGAATAGAAAGCGGAATAGAAGGCGTGCATATTTCTCCATTCCAACTCAGCAGTAGAGGATGTATACACGTTCCCGTTGGAGTATGTAAATTTATCTCACGGTCAATGTGGCAATTCATTTTTAGCAATCCACACCCCCACTACGGATGCTCTGAGATGCAGTCTAATAACTCACATTCTCTGCTATAAAGAAAAAAGCTTGTTCATTTAACCGTGTAAAAGAAGTGCCCGAATCAACTAGCGCCACGAACGCAACGTTGCTTACAATGTCATCAACACATATTTTCTCTATCTGTATGTTGTAATCCTCGCTGCATGCATTATGTTTGAGCAAGAAAATTAAGAAACGAAACTATTTTTTTGAGAAAAAAATGACCTTTTATATTTCTATTGGAGTTTTCCCGACTAATTACATTTTTGGACAAAAATATGACTAGTCACAAAAGTGGGCAAAAATCACTATAGTGTATTTCAGAGTATCAAATCACTAAGAACTAGTCACTAATATGTCACTTTTTTGGAAAATTTTAAAATAAGTCAGATTTTTGTCTTTTATTTGAATTTAATTGAGTAATATTCATGGAAAGACCCTTTTTAATTGACAAAATTCTTTAAATGGAACCAAACATACGCAAAGCGCGCAAATAAGACTGATATGTTTTTTTTTTCTAGAATTGAATAGGACTCATCCACTGTTAATTGAATAAATTTATACTTTTAATAGCACCAAATTACTAGTTCTATTTTCGGAATGAATATAATTACTTTTGTTTGTACACCTTGTATAATTTCAGTCAAATGAGCTACGGAGTACTCCATATATTTTTATGTGATTTGCTTTTCCTTTTGGACTGCACGAGTTAAATATCTTGTTTTCGTTTTTAGTAATTAAGAAATGTACGGTTCACTTACTCATCCGGGTCTAGTGGTGTTCTCATATGGGCACTGCTGCCCTTGTCTCCAAGTGCAAGCCTGCCTTTGCCATCAAGGCCAAAGCATAAGGAGAAGGAGTTTGGGACCAGCCCTTGGGATGCTAGCATGCCAGGTAAGTCCAAAGGCGTATTAAAGCCCAGCCCTAGCAAACCATTGATTGTGCCATCCTCCAAATTAGCACCAGTCTCAATCATTCCACACCTAAATTATAACATCTCATATAATTAATATTCATACTGTATTAGGAGTATTCAATTGAAATGTTAATATGTACTACCTCTGTCTCATAATGGTTTTCATGTTTCAATTTGACACGATTATTAATCAAGTGGTTGAAAATTAAAGTGGTGATTGAAATTTGATTAGAATAAAATGAAACGATAAGGAGTAAGGACCACGTATTTTTTGTCAAAAAAGAAAACATAACATTCATTTTAGGACAATCCAAAAAGAAAAGTAGGATAATCAAAATGGGATATAGGGAGTGCATTGCATATATACACACACACTCACCCGAATATAATTGGCGCTTTACAAGGCCGGCGTTTCTGGTCATATGTTTCTAAGTGCAAGATATCCTTAACAAGGATGCCCTTACTTGAAGTGTTATATGTCATATAGTCGACTTGGTAAGGGCATGTGGCTACCGCCTTGCCGCCGGACTTATGCATCAGGTGGCATTGCTTCTGCTTTGGCCAACATTCAGGGCTCCGACATGGTATAATTCTACTCGTGGATGAAGACTTTGGGTTGTAGGAATTGAGAAATCTTATCTGTTTCATTTGATCATATGTCCGGGTAAAACAAGATACAAATACTATAGATTATTATAAGAATTTAATGAAATATTGAAATGTCGAACTAGAAGTAAAACATACTCAAAGTTTCAAAACCACGAAGTATTCCGTATGAGTCATTGTTAAAATTCCATAAATAGAACTATAGAAGTACGTAATATATACGAAGTATATAATATGTGAGCTGGCCTGATTATGCTGGAAGAACTAGCTAGAGATTAATTAATTATATCTAGGATAGAAAAGTACTCCGATCCTATATAATGTTTAGTCATATTTAGAAAACATTAAACACGGACTCCTATTTAGGAATTAGCAACTTTAACCATGTTTTACAGCTATAATGATTGATTGATCTGATTTCCGTGTGTTCTTGTTTCAATGTGAGAGTAAATTATTGGTAGTAATCCATATTATTTTTATTTTGAAAGGGTACTCTCATATTGTTTTCATGTAGATACGTAATATATACGGAATATATTACTCTATTCGTCCCGCTAAAACAGTCTTGTACCACATTTAATTTGGTAAACTTTTTGTAGTTTGAAATCACTCTTACTTTACTTTGTCCAATTTAATACTACATTAGTCCCAAAAAGGTTCGTCATAGTGACTTTTCTTGACCAATGATAACAAAAGTTGAAGAATGATTTTAATTAGTATACTAGTATTTGAGTATAATATATAAATTTTATACTTTTATAAAAATATTTTGAATAATGAACATTTTGGGATGATTTTCATATTCAAAATAATTTCGTATTAAAAAATACTCCATCCATCCCAAAATGATTTGCAAGGTTAACATTTTTTTGTCGACCATTATTAAAGTTAAATATTCCATATTGATAATTAACTAAATTTTTAATAATTGAAATCTACATATTCAGAAACTACATTAAAATCTTTTTGAAGTTGCAAACTTCAAATTAAAATATGTAGTATAATTTTTGTTTGAAACACCAAAGTAAAATATAATTCAAAGTTGGCATCCTAATTAAGTGAATACGGAGTACAATAAAATTGTTTGAAAAAAAAATTCAATAATTTTTCAAATCAATTTGGGACAGAGGTAGTATCATGAGTCAAAGTTGATTGTCATTAACAAAAAAAATCAATTTGACGAACATTTTCAGGAGAGGGAGGGTGTAGGGGAGAGGTAGCAGTAAGGAAGCATGATTCTTTAGTAGAAAAAAACATCACATGCAATGGAAAAACATGTGTGGTTTCACGTGCTCCTATTTATGGGTTGTGTTCTTACTAGCTAATTAGCCGCACAAATAAGAGGGAGACTGAATATAGTACGTAAAATTTACACTTAATTACTTCTCCCGTGTCTGTTTCAAAGAGGTGTGCACAGTGGCGGAACCAGGACCCATGACTCGCAGGGGCACAATAACAAAGAAATCACTGATCAGTCTCCATCGGCCGTCACAGAGATGCTCACAGTTGCCGTCGGCCGTCGTTGAGGTGCTCACAGTCCGTCGGCCTTCGCTGAGTTGCTAGAGTTGATGGCTTGCTGCAGACTGATGTGAGTTTGAAACGCCGATTCCGCCGAACTACTGAAGCGATATGGGGGCTAAGGGGAAAGGGAAGTTGGGCTTGAGTTGAGCTGTTGAGCCTTAATGGATTGGGCTGCTGGGGAAGAGGGGAGTGGGATTGAACCGGAAAAACAAGGGAAAGGGGGAATTGGGATTGGGCTGCAGGGGCTCAAATTAATAAAAATTAAAATATGCATATATATTTAAAAAAAAAAATAATTCACTGCAGGGGCACGGGCACCTCCGGGCTCTATGGTGGTTCCGCCCCTGGGTGTGCACAGTTCTTGCAAAGGCATGGCAACCAGGATATGTCACTCCCTGTGTCAAGGGCGACAATAAATGGCATCCCAGGAGTCCCAATACGTATTTCAGCATAATGCAAGCTGAAATATAAAGACACAAAATACGTAATACAAGTATAATTTATGGTAGAAACTGTTTCTTGCATTGGGCATGCATGCACGGCAGACACACTGCGTATGCGTTTAATACATGTATAGTAAGTATAAAGGTATAATAATGCATGAAAATGATCGGACTTACTTTCCCAAGCTTTGTATCTGACTATTGACATCGCCCCCACCATGTTGAAAGAGTTTATACACGAAGAAGGAGGAAGGCAAATGTAATCGGAAAGCTTATCTATTAAAATGAGAAAACAAAAGGCTTAATATATATAGCCAATTACAAGAGTTCTTGACCACATAACAAGCTAACAAACTCCTACTTTGTAGCCATATTCTAACGTGCAAAACAACTCAACTGTCATGCTGCAAATGCTCCTGAATAATAGGTAAGAATAGTAGACTTATTCAAATGACAATAATTAATATGAATATTAAATAAAATAGCCCAATGCTACGTATGCATGTACACATGCATGATTAAGTTGGATTATTCTCAACACCACCCCTTGATCCAAGCTTGATCATGCCAATTCTCTTCACAAAATGATAGTGCTTCGCATGGTTGAGAGCCTTTGTAAACAAGTCTGCATTTTGCCATTCTGTTCCACAGAACCGAAGTGAAATCCTTCCATTTGCCACTAGTTGCCTGATGAAGTGATACTGGACATCAATGTGTTTTGTTCTAGAATGATAAGCTGGATTTCTCGCCATTGCTATAGCTGATTTGTTGTCACACCATAGCTCAACACTTTCAGTCTGCATACATCCCAAATCTGTTAGTAGCTTGCTTATCCATAGAGCTTGTTTTACTGCAGATCCTGCAGCCACATACTCAGCTTCTGAGGAAGATAAAGCAATGGTTTCTTGCTTCTTTGAACTCCATGTTACTGCTCCTGAACCTAGGTCAAAGACTGACCCTGACATGCTCTTCCTATCATCCACACACCCAGCCCAATCTCTGTCAGAATATCCCCTTAATTTGAAATCTTTCACACTTGAATACCAAATCCCAAACTCCAAAGTCCCTGCTACGTATCTCAGGATCCTTCTTGCAGCACCAAGATGTTGCTTTGTAGGCCTTTGCATATATCTTGACACAATACTAACACAGTAAGCCAAATCAGGCCTTGAATGTGTTAAGTAATTGAGTCCTCCCACCATGCTTCTATAAAGGGTGACATCTGCCTCCTCAGTACCATCATTCTTCTGTAGTTTTTCACTTGCATTCATAGGTGTAGCTATGGTTTCACACGCCTCCATGTGAAATCTTTTAAGCAGGTTAAGAGCATATCTCTTCTGGCATAGAAAAGTACCCTCTTTTCCCTTCTTTACTTCTAAACCAAGGAAGTACTGAAGCATACCCAAATCAGTCATCTCAAACTGATTGGTCATGGAATCTTTAAAAGAGGTTAGCATGCTTTGGGAAGAACTGAAAAAGATGATATCATCAACATACAGGCACACAACTAGGAACTCCATACCTTCTTTCTTGACATATAAAGTGGGCTCATTATCACTCTTCTGAAATCCTGATGTGCAGAAGAAGGTGTCAATTTTGCTATACCATGCTCTAGGGGCCTGTTTTAGCCCATAAAGTGCCTTCTTGAGCCTGTACACCTTTTCTTCCTCCCCTTTCTTCACAAAGCCAGGTGGCTGATGAACAAACACTTCTTCAAGCAAGTCACCATTTAGGAAAGCTGATTTGACATCCAACTGATATACAGGCAGCTTCCATTGTGCAGCTAGGGCTAGAACAATCCTCACAGTTTCAAATCTAGCTACAGGAGAGAAGGTTTCTTCATAGTCCACCCCTTCTTGCTGAGCATAACCTTTGGCTACTAGTCTAGCCTTATGCTTAGAGATACTCCCATCTGAGTTGTACTTAGTCCTGTACACCCACTTCAAACCAATGACATTTTTCTCCTTAGGCAGGTTCACCAACTCCCAGGTCTTGTTCTTTTCAATAGCATTGATCTCCTCTTTCATTGCTTGTGTCCACTCAACACAAGTAGCAGCTTCTTGATAGTCTGCAGGTTGAGTAACAATAAAAGCAAAGTCACAAGATTCATAGATATCTATTAGTGACCTTACTTTTCTAGGCTGATCACTTGATGAGGTGTCAGATTCTGAGCTTTCATCAGAAGATGAGGATGAGGATGTTGTTGGAGGAGAGGAGTGGTTGGATGCAGTTGGAGTGGGCTGAGGAGAAGACTGTTCTTCTAGGCTTACAACTCTGGGTGTTGGAACTTCTTGTTGAGCATTCTGATCCCAGTTCCACTCTTCATCTTCATCAAAAATGACATTTCTGCTTATAATGATCTTCTCAGTAAGGGGATTATACAGTCTATAGGCCTTGGACTGAGTTGAGTACCCCACAAAGATGCATTTCTCTGCTTTGTCTTCTAGCTTGGTTCTCAGGTTCACAAGAGTGTAAGCTATGCAACCAAACACTTTCATATGACCTACTGAGGGTGTCTTTTTCCTCCATGCTTCAAATGGTGTACAATTGAGGACTGCCTTAGTTGGACACACATTCAGAATGTATACAGCTGTAGATACAGCTTCACCCCAGAACTTGGTTGGCATAGTCTTGGCTTTAAGCATACTTCTAGCCATTTCTACAACTGTCCTGTTCTTCCTTTCAGCCACCCCATTTTGCTCAGGGGTGTAGGGTGCTGTGAATTCTCTTCTTATTCCATGTTCATCACAGAATTCAGTAAAAGCATTAGAACTGAACTCACCACCTCTATCAGTTCTAAGTGCTTTAACTGACTTTCCAGTTTGATTCTCAACTAAGGCCTTAAACTTCTTGAAGTTTTCAAGGGCTTCAGACTTGGTCTTTTGAAAATAGACCCAAGACATTCTAGTAAAATCATCAGTGATCATTAGAAAGTACCTACTACCTCCTAATGATTCAGTCCCCATTGGACCACAAAGATCAGCATGGAGCAGTTCTAGGCATTCACGAGCTCTCCATGACCCTCCTGCGGGAAAAGAACTTCTTGATTGCTTCCCATAGATACACCCTTCACACAGTTCCAGCTTGCCAATACTAGGTAGGCCTCTAACAAAACCTCTAGCACTCAGTAGTTGCAGACTAGTCATGTTAAGATGACCATACCTTAGAT